ATCCATAGTGGTATAGAGGAACAATTTTTGTCTACACACAAGTCCACATTGATCACAATCCCTAGCTCTCTTCATTCCTAGCTCTCAAGGCAGGTCAGGATCATGAGCTCCATTTTACAGAAGGGAAAAGAGCAGGAAAGAGACACGTCCACATTTACCCGGCAGGCCAGGGGCAGAGCTGGGACAGAACCCAGGCCACCTGAGTCCCAGTCCAGTGCTCTATCCACTAGACTGCACTGCCTGATCACATTGGTAGTGATATAAATGTGTCCACATGACAGGCTTGTCTACAGGGGACACTGTAGGAAATTTAAGAAAAAGTCAATAAAGCGGGATGTTAAAGCCCATAAGTTAAAGTACAGTATATCCAGTGAGGATGCTGTACATAGAAGTAAAATGACCCTAGTTTGGCTGTAGCTTACGTTATGAGGAAGGTGGGGGGAGGATAGAAAGATAGATGTGCATGGGGATAGAAGATGGATGGATACACACATAGACAAACAGATAGATGAGAATATGGAAGAAAGGTAGGGTAGGCTGGAATATAGAAAAGAAAAAATAGACGCCACTACCCTGCTCCCCACCTTCCCCACCCCCTGAGCACTGGGCCGTGGAAGGACTTTGATAATTATTTGTTTCACTTGAGCAATTCTGCGGCCAGCCAAGGCCAAAGCCCTGTAATGAGTATGGATTTGCCAGTAAATAAGTCCCCTGCGCTCCCCGGGCCCTGTAATAAATGCATTTGGAGTAATCTGGCTATCACCTGCCGTAATTGCTAGCTGTCAGCCGAAATTGATGCCGCATACACTGACTTTGCTACCGCTTTGCCCTTCCTTCACGCTGATCTATCTCCTCCTCCCTGCACCTCCCCTCTATCCGAGGAAAGCTCATGTTCCAGTTAGCCACCGAAGCAAACACCCCCTCACCACTCCCCCACCTGGGCCAGCCCAAGGAGGAGAGATTCGATGCTAATGAGAAGAGGGCTCTGTTTCTTCCTTGCGTTGACGCTAGGAGTCCTGGCTCCCACCTCTGTCCTGGGTTCAAGTGCCAATGGGTCTTTGCAGCAAGGGGGGGGGACCCCGGTGGTGTGTGAGATGGGGCACAGGCCAATCTGTCGAGATGTAAGCAGGCAGAGAGCACTAGCTTGTGGTGGTGGCTGAAATTTGTTAACTGAAACTTTTTTTCCGGCGCAAAAATGCAGATTTGGAGTCGACTGAAATGTTTTGGGAATTTGCGGTGATGTCACCCAATTGTTTCAGTCAGAAAACTCCCAAGTAATTGAAAGTTTCCATTTTTCAATTCCCAATGACTGTTTTGAAATTTCCTTCCATCTGATCAAAAAAATGTTTTAAAACATTAGAAACAAACCATCTTGTTTGACCTGAAACGAATTTCCCACCCCCCCTTGTGATTTTTCAGAATTACTAGTGAACCAAAAAATAGTTATTCACCCAGCTCTAGATTTGAGATCAACTTCACAAAACCTTCCCTGTGTGTGTTCATCACAGCAGGTGTCCATGGGGGAAGGGTTCTGCTTAGAGCTGGCTGCTTTCTGAGAACTGTGTCCACCATAAGAATTACCACACACTGGTCCATTTGTTCCTATAACCCATTTCCAGTAGTGGCCAATAAAAGAAGAACATGTGATAACCCAACAGGCAGATGAGGGGTAATCTATCCCCCATAAAGGCCCAATCCTAACCTCTGATTAGTCAGAGACTGATTTAAACCATGAAGCACAAGAATTTATCTCCCATCTGAAATCTTTGTTAGATCCGCTGCTTTAGCTTTGGATATTCTCATTATCCATACGAACATCCAACCCCTCTTTGGAGCTTGTTAAATTCTTGGCTTCAACAACATCCAGTGGCAGTGAGTTCCACGTGCTATTACATGTCAAGTGAACAAAGCACTTCCTTTGATCAGTTTAGACATGGCCACCCTCCAAATTCATGGAGACTCCCCTTGTGAGACAGGGAGACCAGAAGTTCCTTCTCTAGACCGGTCAGTATTGTACAGACTTGTACCTTGTCCCATCAAATTGGTCTCCTTTCTAAGCTGAACAATCCTGTACTTTATGATGGTAGCTGGATGAATGGGTGTGTAGGAGGGGAGGGAGGGAGATCCCAGGGCACTTTTCCCAAGATTTGTGATGTTAAACTCAATTTTAGGCTCCAGTTTCAGCTTTGGCCATTTCTTAAACTCCTCCTGCATTTCCACTTGGATACAAGATCTGCCTTTCATTCCACCTCAGGGGCAGCTTCATCTCAGCACCAGACAAGGGATTCCTGTATAAACAATTGCTGCAGCCCACCCCAAAGTACCAGTCCCATTTAGATTAGTGACACTGATTTACATCAGCTGGGGTTTTGGCCCAGCTGACTCCAATGAAGCCATAGCTCTTTTACACACTAGGGCAATGCCACTGTACACCATATGGAATTATGTTCCATAATTCTGCTATTATAAACAAACTCTCAGCCCTAGAGATTAAATTCAACATGGAAGCCACCTTAAGTGATCTAGACAGAGCCAGCCCTGCTTCTACATAACAGAGGCCAGTTCAGTGACTCACCCTGATTTACACTGGTCTCAACAGAAGCAGAATTTGGCCTTAAAATGGTGCACAAGAGCAGTGCTACCTCATTTTAAGAATCCAGACAAATCTCAACAGCATCACCCACCTCCCAAGAGTCTACTGCGACATTCATCATTTCCACTTAAATCACCCCTCTTAGAGTCATGTGATGACAAGAGAGTCATGTTTTCTAGCTTAGGACATGCTGGGAAAATTGGAAAACCCTAAAAGGCTGCAGGAAATCCAGAAGCTGAGTTACAGCGAACCCCAGCACTGGTTACACTTTTTATTAAAAGATCTCCTGATTTCTCTGCTGATCTCCTGAATTCTCAAAGGCTTGAGAATGAATCATATGCTCCTGGAGGGAGAAAAGCAATGCTCAAATTTCTCCTCCAACAGTGTGGGGAATAGAATCTGCCCTGTGGGCGGGGAGGGTATCTGGGGCTGCTATTGGCGGGGGGCAGAGGTCAGTGTGTGCCAATTTCTCCCCTTCTCTTGAGGCGATAAGTCTTTCAGCTCACGCATGGCAATTTGTGGGCACCCGACTCTGCTGCTGACACGCCATTTCATTCCCCCACAGCTGTCGAGCCGGCAATCAGGTTTAATAAAGGCACAGGATTAGACAGCTGAACGAGGAATCTCGATGGCCTAACAATGCAATTATTACAGACAGTGCAGCCAGTCCCCTCAACTCCTGGGCCCATCCCAGCTCCAAGACAGCGAGCTCAGCGGGACGCTGAAGGAGGGAGACAGGTGGGTTAGCTGTCAAACTGCAGTTAGCAAGCAAGCTAAGGAGGCTGCCCAGGGCGCACTGAGGGTGAGTGCAGATAGATTTGGTATATAAATTAAAGGCATGTGGGAGGGCACGGATAGAGATATGCATAGACAGTGGTATGTGCATGATCACACAGGTAAGTATGCAAATACACACCCCCATACATGTACACACATATGCAAATGCATGCACACGTGCATGTAAGTGCATGCACACACATGTCTGGAAATACACATATGCACAGATACATGCGTATGCAAACACATATGCAGATGGAGGCACACATGTATGCATACAGCTGTACATCTGCAAATACATACACACACCTGAACAGGGCCCAATTTTCTATTCGCCCTTCCTGTTTGACATCCCTGCAAAAAATGGCATGTGCATTTCTCTTGTTCTCATCTTTTATTTACCCCAGCTGCACTGCAGCCCCACCTCCTGACCCCGGCTACAATCTACTGCAATCATGACACTCACTCCTCTGCGGTTCCCGCCCCGTGTGGCAAATGACTGCAGGACTTGAGAGGCCCCCAGCGGCCTGTCTCAGGGTACTGGATAAAAGGATTCAAAGCACACGCTGGCTCCCTTGCATCGCAACTGATTTACAGGGGGCAGTTGGCGAGGATAGCCAAAGAGCCGGCCGGGGGAAAGGAGACGGAGAGAAAATGCCCCTCCAGTGCTCTGCAAGTTCTCGCTGCAGCTCCCAATGGCGCCTCCAACCAGAGGCCCCCTCCCCATGCGGCTGCTAATTGTCATCGTACCCCTCGCGCCCCTCGCCTCCATCAAAAACCAATGCGTGTCCTGAACTCAATGCCGCAGAGCACAGGGCTCCACACAGGCGGCCAATGGCACAGGGCACTGTTTGCATCAGCCCCAGCCTCCCCCTGCTGCCAGAGCACAGCCACCCTGGACAATGGCTCCCAGCTCCCGCTGTGCACACCAGCCCCTGGCAGGGGCGGAGGGGGAAGCCAGCATCCCGAGGCACAAGGTGCTGTGGGGCACTGAGTACAGCAGAGTGCCCCAGACTGGGGGTCTCGATCACACCCCTCTGCAGGAGGGGGGTCACACTCATTGCAAAGCATCTGCATGGTGAGACGCCAGGAATTCCCTCAGAAGGAGGTCAGTGGGGAGGGTCCTGGGTGGCACACGGAGTGTTACCTGCTGTTGCACTGCAGGGAGCATGGTCAGACAGCTCTGAGCTCAGCTGCCCCTCCGGAGTCTGCATCCCCTGTTTTGGGCTGCCTCTCTCTGCTTCCCGGAAGCCAGGGTAACTGGGTAGGTAGAGGGGCGTGTATGACAACAGAGACATCAGGACTAGGGGTTCTAGTCCCAGCCTTGGAAAGGGAGTTGGGTCTAGGGGGTTAGAGCAGCCGGATTTAGTGTCAGGACTCCTGGGTCCTATTCCCAGCTCTGAAAGGGGAGTGGGGTCTAGTGGTTACAGCAGGTGGGAGTAGGGACTCCGGACTCCTGGGTTCTATCCTGGGCAAGTCCCTCTGCCTCAGCATCCCACGCTATAAAACAGGGAGGACAGATCTCCCTTGTTATGCTGTTTGAGGGCTGCTGTGGGAAAGCTGCTACAGCACTGAGACTGCTGCTAATATTGATGCTATACCCAGATTAACCCTTTCCCTCCCTCTACAGTTACCAGCCCAGAGAGCCCGTCCGGCTGAGCCTGTGAGATCCACCCATTACATGGCTTGCCCAGCTGCTATCGCCCCCAGCTTACCCTCTCCCTGGAGCCAGGCTATGTCGTGCTGCTGCTCCCCACCCCGTCACCTGCCACAGACCCAGGCGTCCTGAGCAGGAGGACCACAGAGCCCGCACTGCTGGCTGGGACCCCGGAGCACCCAAACGTGAGTTGAACCTGTTGGCTTCATTAATTGGGGGGGTTGGGGGGATACAGTTCAAAAGGGCGTTATTAAAACATCCGATCTTTGGTTAGAAAACGGAGTCAGAGAAGGAAAGCACTATGGACCCAACGTGACCTACATATACACCCCACTCTACCCAGCCGTCTATCTCCATTCCCACCCCCCTACCTGTGGGTCCCCCTGTACCTCATTAGCTGTGGCATGTCCAAGCATGGAGCAGGCTGTCTGCTGAAGGTTGCTCGGCTGCTCCAGGCCCTTGTGTTGTGGCCTGATGTTCATGCTCACAGACAGTACTGGAACAGCTGGGCCCCGGGGCTCTCCCTGTGGGGCTGGGCCCCTGCAACCACAGTGACTTGGAGAGTGGCAGCCAGCTGTCAGGAGGCCCTGGCTGATGCAGAGCATGGGCATTGCACGGATTCACAATGCACACCCGGCGGTAGGGAGGGCATGCTAGTGTCTGGAGCAGGAGGTCTGTGTGTTGGGACTGAGGAGCTTTGGGATGGCTGTGAGGGGAGGGGAGCTCAGGGCTGGGATCAGACAGCAGGGGCTGAGGCGCTGGAGTGATACTCAATTAAGTATTTAAGCTGCTGCATCACATAAGGGTTCCTAACCATGCTCCTTCAATTTCTCTGTATGCATGTGGGTTGGGGAGCAGCCAGGACTCCTGGGTTCTAGTCCCAGCTCTGGGGAGGGTGGGGTCTAGTGCGTAGAGCAGAAGAGGCTGAAACTGCTGCGTCCTATCCCCAGGTCTGTGGAGGAGAGTGGCTCCCCCTAGCCCCTCCATGGCTGCCGGGTTTGTGATTCAGCTGGTGCTGACACATCCTCACCAAGGTCGGAGGGAGGGGCACCCAGAGCCCTTTAACTCACTTTTATTTGTCCTCAGAATTGCTATTGATTTACAACCGTTTGAACTCTGCCCAGCCACTTCCAAGTATGATGAGCTGGCGCAGGCCCGCTCCCTTCCCCTCCTCAAGAACAGAACGCAGGAGCCCTGATTGGCCCCCCCCCCCCACTCTAACTCCCCTGCCCCCACTCCCCTCCAGGACCCCAGACTCCTTCAGGACAACCCCCCGTGATTTTAGAAGTGATTTCTAAGCCTTTGCATCCTTTCCTCAAGCCCCACTTCCAGGATTCCTTTGCTCCCCCCTTGTTAATTGCAGTAGCTAGAGCCAGCCTGTCCCCATCCCCACAGGCAATCTTGGCCAGCTCAGAGCCCCAGCTGTCTGCTCCCTAGTTCATTCTCAGATCAATATCCTTGAGAAGAGGCTTTTCCATTCCCCAGAGGCAGCTGGCTCTGTGCTAACTGAATCCTGCCCTTCGTCCGTAATCCAGCGATGCAGCTACAGGCTAGCCAGCAATTTGACGGGCTAATGTCCTGATTTCCTCCAGGAGAAGCTACTCTTAGCATTGGAGGCTACGGGAGTGATTGGATTGCACGTTAGGAACCAGCCTTATTGTTATGGTACCAGCTAGAGGTCTCCACCCGTCCTGCCAGGTGCTGCACAGACCCTGGAAGCTGCAAGCCCCAATTGCACCAGGTGCTGCACGGAAACAGAGTGACAGTCCCTGCCTTGGAGCACTCTTAATCGGAACAGACAAGGGGCAGGAAGGGAAACAGAGGCACCAAGTGAGGAAGCGGTTTGCCCAAGGTCACCCAGCAAGTCAGTTCTAGCCTACTCCCTTATTTGCTGAATCTTGACATCTGTAAATCTGTCCGTAAAACCTAAATGCTATGTTGGGAGTTTGTGTGTGTGGCACAGGAGCGAGCCCAGGGCAGGGATAACAGGGGGGTACATGGCGAGATTGAGGGGCACAGGCAGAGCTATGGGGAGCCCAGGGCTGGGATAGCAGGGGGGTGCAAGATGGGATTGAGGGGCACAGGCAGAGCTGGGGGGAGCCCAGGGCTGGGATAGCAGGGGGATGCAGGACAGGATTGAGGGGTGCAGGCAGACCTGGGGAGAGCCCAGGGCTGGGATAGCAGGGGGGTGCAAGATGGGATTGAGGGGTGCAGGCAGAGCTGGGGGGAGCCCAGGGCTGGGATAGCAGGGGGATGCAGGACAGGATTGAGGGGTGCAGGCAGACCTGGGGAGAGCCCAGGGCTGGGATAGCAGGGGGTGCAGGTCAGGATTGAGGGACGCAGGCAGAGCTGGGGAGAGCCCAGGGCTGGGATAGCAGGGGGTGCAGGTCAGGATTGAGGAGCGCAGGCAGAGCTGGGGAGAGCCCAGGGCTGGGATAGCAGGGGGTGCAGGTCAGGATTGAGGGGCGCAGGCAGAGCTGGGGAGAGCCCAGGGCTGGGATAGCAGGGGGTGCAGGTCAGGACTGAGGGGCGCAGGCAGAGCTGGGGAGAGCCCAGGGCTGGGATAGCAGGGGGTGCAGGTCAGGATTGAGGGACGCAGGCAGAGCTGTGCCAATTATTTTAAAGCACACATCACCCATTTGCAGACTCCCACTGTATCGGTGGCACTGGGGCATAGAAAGTCATGCATGTGCTTTCCATACTGGCGCATGCTGAACCTTTGCAGCTGGGGGAGGGGCAGGGCGCAGAAACAAATTACAATTACAATCCACATCGGGATCCCGGCAACGCGTTTAATTTAAACCGACTTGCAATAAAAAGCTGCAAATCTGAACACTGTGGAGTCTTGGGGGATATTGAACAAATTGCCTGGCAGAGAAACACATTAAAAATTACCCTGCAATCAGAACAAACTAAAAAGTTAAATTACAGGAAGCGGAATCCATATGTAAATGAGTGGCACAGAGAAGTGGGAGTAAGCCTCTGTGCGTGAAGATGGGAGCCAGGACTCCTGGGTTCTCTCCCCAGCTCTGAAGGAAAGTGGTGTCTAGTGGTTAGAGAAAGGGGGCTGGGAATCAGGACTCCTGGGTTCTAACCCCAGCTCTTGGAAGTAGGGTGATCAGATGTCCCGATTTTATATGGACAGTGCTGATTTTGGGGTCTTTTTCTTATAGAGGCTCATATTACCCCCGTCCCGATTTTTCACACTTGCTGTCTGGTCACCCTACTTGGAAGGGAGAAATCAGTGATGTTGTGTCTGGTATCTTCGGAGCGCAGTTTGTTTATTTACATTATATACCTTTTAAAAAAAAAGAACCCCAAGAATCCCATGACTTTAAGGAAAATGCCAAAAATCATGAGATTCAGGAATAAATCCTGAAGATTCGCAATGCTGCTCTGTTAATTATACCCACGCCCTTCCCACAGGCAGGGATAGATCCCAGGAGTCCTGGCTCCCACCCACGCCTTGCCCTAACCGCTAATCCACCTTTTCCAGCAACCACAGTTACACCCAGCGAATTTGTTTGAAAAACCAGCACATCTGTAATCGATGTGGGATCTTACATAGCTTTAATTCCCCCAAACAGCAGCCTCTGTCTTAGGTTCCACAACTGGTGTGGGAGAGGGTGAGGAAAGGGCTGCTTTGCTTAGAGAAGAGGCACATTGGTATGCAGTTTGCCTCTGGCAAGACAAAATAGAACCCAGGAGTAGGAAGTCTTCATTCCTCCTCATGCAGTGAGCCTATTACAGCCCCTAGCAGCACTGCTAGGCATGGAAATTGGTGTAGCTCCTATGATGCATGCAAAACCATTTGGGAACAGTGTTTAGAGTATTATGATACTGGGCTGAGTACAGGGGTAACTGGGTGAAATGTAATGGCCTGAGATGTGCACAAGGTCAAACTAGATGATCTAAAGGTCCTTAAACTCTATGGCTCTGTGAAATCTACAAATCCATGAATGGAACTGGTCAAGGAAGTTTAATCCAAAGTGGTTTCCATCAAAAAATGTGGCATCATGAGAACGTTTTGATTCTAATGATACTTTCAAAGGGAGAAAGTCATCATGGACCGTCTTGATTTTCTCATTTTGATGATGTCGAAAAATATCCTAGAATCATAGCAATGCAAGACTGGAAGGGGCCTCAAGAAGTCACCTAGTCCATCCCCAGGACTGAGGCAGGATGAATCTGTGCCCAGAATGCAAGAAGGATGTTGATAAATTGGAGAGGGTTCAGAGAAGAGCCATGAGAATGATTAAAGATTAGAAACCATGCCTTATAGTGATATACCCAAAGAGCTCAGTCTATCTAGTTTAAAAGAGAGAAGGTTAAAGGGGAATCTAGATTACAGCCTCTAAATGTCAACATGGGGAACAAATCTAGCAGAGACAGATCTAATATGATCCAATGGCAGGAAGTTGAAGCTACACAAATTCAGACTGGAAATAAAGCAATATTTAATGGCGAGAGTAATTAACCACTGGAACAATTTACTTAGGATAAAATCAAGATTTTAATGTTAGTCTAAAAGATTTGCTCTAGGAATTATTTTGGGGAAGTCCTATGGCCTGTGTTACACAGGAGGTCAGGCTAGTTGATCACAGTTGGCCCTTCTGGCCTTGGAATCAGTGGGAAATGTTTCATTTCAGTGTCACCGTTTTGATTTGTTTAGTTTCCATTTTTCTAAGCTATTCAAATATTTCTAATAATGTATAATATGTAGATATGTCATGTATATATTATCTATAGTACATCTGTTACATTTAATAGTTTAATAGCATAGAAAAATGGAAAGAAAATGAATCAAAGGGAAATGATCCATTTTTACCTTATTGAGAATGTCCTACCATTTTTTTTCAAAACAAAATGTTTCAATGGTCCCTGGTCAACATAATTTGGCCCTTGCTTTTCATAGGAAACTTTAAAATTTTGGCTTTTCACTGATTTGGAATGAAAAAATCCTTCACAATGTTGGGATTTCCTGTGGAACAGAAATTGCATTTTCCCATCTGCCCTGAGAAGGAGTTTTTACCTTCATCTTTGATAGCTCTGATGCTTCTTTTATCCTTCTGCACGAGCTTCAGAGGTGCATCTAGGAGCCTGGCTTCTGATCAACATGCCTATGTTGAGTTGTAACAAAGTGGTTAAAAACCAAGCCAGTTTTCTGAGGAGAATTTGCAGCAGG